GTCTCTGTGTCCTTTCTTTTCTTATCACCTGGTACCCCTCTGGAAAGATTGCATCCGAGATCATGCCATTTATTTTAGTTTCCACTATTGCCACTATGTCTGGGTCTGCCTCACTAACTCTTTCTTTTATCTCTTCTGCTTTATGGATACCCCATCAGCATTGGTGTACCAAACCTTGAGACTCTTCTTGGAAACTCTGGTTCCAGAGTTCCCCCTTTCACCGGGGTCTGGGGGAGACTGGGGGGGGGTGTCTGGGGGGAAAGTGGGGGCTGTGGGGGTGTCTGGGGGAGAGTGGGGGCTATGGGGGTGTCTGGGGGGTGGTAGGGGGTGCCTGGGAGTGCCTGGTAGGTGAATGGGATCTGGGCATCTAGGGGGGGGGGGTAGGAAGGGCATAATGGGTCTGAAAGTTAGGGAGGGTCTGAATGGCATAGGGGGGTTGAGAAGTAGAGTGAGACCGAGAGTCAGATAGAGGTTGAGTGGTTGGGGGGGAGAGGGATATTGAGGGCGGAGAGCTGAGGGGAGAATGGAGCATGGGTGCTGGGAGTGGAAGAGAGGGTGCATTAGTTTAGGGGGAATTGGGGGTAGGTGGGGGTTTTGGGGTAGAAGAGGAGATGGGGGAAGGTGTAGGGGGTCACAAGGTGAGGGGGTTAAATGTGGGCTGGGGGTGCATAGGAGGGGTGAGGGTTGGGTGGGGTTTGGGGGTGAGTAGAAGCTGGGATGGAGCAGATGGAAGTGAAGGCAATGGGGTAGAAGGGGCAGGGGAGTAGGAGTGGGTAGTAGGGGAGGGGGATGGGAAGGTGGGTTTGGGGATGGCATGCTTTACCCACTGGGGTCGTTGACAGGTGTTATGTAGCAGGGGCAGGGGAGTCGTTGGGGAAGTGCAAATGTGGAAGGGGCAGGGGGGTTTTGGGGGGGCTGAGTCAGGGGGGTTTTGGGGGGGGGGCTGAGGCAGGGGGGTTTTGGGGGGGGGGCTGAGGCAGGGGGGTTTTGGGGGGGGGCTGAGGCAGGGGGGAGGTATAGGAGGGCTGAGTTGGGGAAGATGTGACCTGGGAGGTGACCTGAGAGGTGAGGCTACCTGAAAGGCTAGGGGTACGGTGTCGTGCTTGCCATCTATTCTTGTGGGCTATTTCCTCATCTTCCGTCATAAACTTTTCAATAAACACATTGTAATGGGTTTCACTTCCTCTGAGTAAATGCTTGTTCCTCATTATGTACTCCACAGCCTCCTCATTGGAGAATTGCACCAGAACAGGTCTATTCTTGGTACAATTGTAAGGTCCAACCCGGCGGCTGATGTCCACCTCGTTTCCTGCCATTCCTTCTCCAATACATCTCAATATCTCGTGCAATTCATATTTTTCTGTCTCTATCCTTTCTTGTCTTGTTGGTGCCCCAGATTCGAATAATCCATGTATTATAATCGTCCTTCTCTTCAGTAATTCACTCTCATGTTGGTAGCCCCTCCCCTGGAGATTCCCCATCGCAACCGCACTCACTAACCCATCCCCCACTAATCCTCTGTTCTTAGCCTTGCTGTTAATCCTTCCTAATTCGTTTGTGATCCGAGCACATTCCCTCTCCCAGTCCTCTCTTCCCTTCCTAATCTCTTCCTGAATATAGAGCATAAGCTCCTGTTTCTGCCTCTCTACTGCATCATGAATTTGCTGAAATAACTCGCTTCTTATCTCTTGGATTAGATCCTCCATCCAATCGCTCCTTCTCTCTACAAATTTACTTATTAATTTATCTATAAATCTATCCTCCTCCTCATCCTTGCTGGTGATTGACCTTGAATCCCTTCCTGATCTTGTCATGTGTGTGTCTGTGTGTGTAATTACCTAAGTGTAGTTACAGGATAAGAGCTACGCTCGTGGTGTCCCGTCTTCCCAACACTCTTTGTCATATAACGCTTTGAAACTACTGACGGTCTTGGCCTCCACCACCTTCTCACCTAACTTGTTCCTACCATCTTCCACTGTTTGCGAAAGTGAATTTTCTTATATTTCTTCGGCATCTGTGTTTAGCTAGTTTAAATCTATGACCTCTTGTTCTTGAAGTTCCAGGTCTCGGGAAATCTTCCCTATCGATTTTATCAATTCTTGTTACTATTTTGTACATAGTGATCATTTCACCTCTTTTTCTTCTGTCTTCTAGTTTTGGCATATTTAATGCCTCTAATGTCTCCTCATAGCTCTTGCCCTTCAGTTCTGGGAGCCACTTAGTAGCATGTCTTTGCACCTTTTCCAGGATGTGCTTCTTAAGATATAGGGTCCACACAACTGCTGCATATTCTAGCTTTGGCCTAACAAAAGTCATGAACAATTTCTTTAGTATATCGCCATCCATGTATTTAAAAGCAAATATGACGTTAGAAAGCGTAGCATAGGCTCCTCGCACAACGTTCTTTATGTGGTCCTCAGGTGATAGTGTTCTATCTAGAACCACCCCTAGATCTCTTTCTTTATCAGAATTCTTTAAAGATTTCTCACATAATATATAGGTTGCGTGGGGTCTATGGTCTCCTATTCCACATTCCATAACATGGCATTTATTCACATTAAATTCTATTTGCCAAGTGATGCTCCATATACTTATTTTGTCCAGGTCATCTTGAAGGGCATAACAATCATCTAAGTTTCTTATCCTTCCTATTATCTTTGCATCATCAGCAAACATGTTCATATAATTTTGTATACCAACTGGTAGATCATTTATGTAGACAATAAACATCACTGGTGCAAGAACTGAACCCTGTGGTACCCCACTTGTGACATTTCTCCAGTCCGATACATTGCCTCTGATTACTGCCCTCATTTTTCTATCAGTCAGGAAATTTTTCATCCATGTTAAAAGCTTACCTGTCACCCCTCCAATATTTTCCAGTTTCCAGAACAACCTCTTATGTGGTACTCTGTCAAAAGCGTTTTTTAGGTCCAGATAGATGCAGTCAACCCAACCATCTCTTTCCTGTAAAATCTCTGTGACTCGATCATAGAAACTGACAAAATTCGATAAACAGGATCTTCCAGATCGAAAACCATACTGTCTGTCTGATATAATATCATTTCTCTACAGGTGTTCTACCCATTTAGTTTTGATTAGTTTTTCCAATACATTCACTATTACACTAGTCAATGATACAGGTCTATAATTGAGGGGGTCTTCCCTGCTTCCAGTTTTGTAGATTGGAACTATGTTAGCCTGTTTCCACACATCTGCTACGACTCCTGTACACAGGGATGCCTGAAAGATCAGGTGAAGTGGAATGCTGAGCTCAGATGCACATTCTCTCAGAACCCATGGTGAAACTCCATCTGGACCAACTGCTTTGTTCTTACTTAGCTCCTGTAGCATATTTTCCTCTTCATCTCTAGACACCTCTATATGCTCTATGCTGTTCTGTGGAATTCTTATTGTGTCTGGTTCTCTGAAGATCTCATTTTGTACAAACACACTTTGGAACTTTTTGTTTAATGTTTCACACATTTCCTTTTAATTTTCCGTGTATCTGTCCCCCATTTTTAACCTCTGAATATTATCCTTTACCTGCATCTTACTTTTAATGAATTTATAGAAAAGGCCTGGATCTGATTTACATTTATCTACTATACCATTCTCAAAATCTCTCTGCCTCTCTCCTTACTGACGTGTAGTTGTTTCTTGCATCTTTGTATCGCTGGTATGTTTGGGGGGTTTGTGTGTGTGTGTGTGTGTGTGTGTGTGTGTGTGTGTGTGTGTGTGTGTGTGTGTGTGTGTGTGTGTGTGTGTGTGTGTGTGTGTGTGTGTGTGTGTGTGTGTGTGTAGCTGCATCATGCTTAATGGCGTATGTATGTGTACGCAAGCTAGCCTATTTATGTGGAATATGATGTTTATATAAATGATGTTTTGCAAGTTATATATTATACTAAGTTTGGTATGTCTGGGCTTAAATTAGTTTGTGTGTATTTCTATGATTGTCATTGTAGTATTGACTGCGTATATTAATGGTGTAAGTTTGGGCTTACCTGTGTGCGTATGCCTTCACTTACTAGTTAATTAAAATGTATAGATGTATGGTTACACTTAATAGTATGCTCCCACATGCTCTCTCTTCTCTTTGCCCTTTTTTCTTGTAAACTGAGACTAGTTTAAACTGACATACCTATAATAATATAATAATAATAATAATAATAATAATAATAATAATAATAATAATAATAATAATAATGTATTTGCAAGAAGGTACAATGGGTTGGTGAGATTACATAAGATTGGTATTTTTGACATTCATGCAAAGCCACTAACACACACAGCATTTTGGGCAGGTCCTTAATCTAACATATCAAGATGAAAAGGTACATTGTAGCAAGGTTTTATATCAACAAATAACTACAATATAAGTTGACAGAGGTGATTACAGTGGTATGGATATATGTCTTAAGTACTAATATTGGGGAAGTGTGTGGTACAAGATACAGTGTGAGTTTGAAGCACAAGGTAGGAAACAATGAGGATGAAATTAGGTACTTTTTGGTTTTACTTTTGAATAGGACATGGGTTGGACAATTTTTTAATTTGTCAGAGAGTGAGTTCCAAAGACTGGGTTCTTTTATTTGTATGGAGTGTTTGCTCAGATTTACTGGTGCATCGTCATAAGGACAATTGGAGGGGGGGGTGGACCTATGACAAGCTGCCAGCTTCCTGTCCTCGTTGAGGCCACTAAAGTGTTGGTGGCCCCAACTGGTGTAAATTTGGGTAAATCTAAAGGCTGGAAACCAGTCATTAAATTCTGTGACTCATTCTTTTAGAAGTACTGATGGGTAAGGTCTGATAATAATATACAAGGTGGTATGGTGTGTTAAGCTTATTTTGGCATTTTCACTTGATTTGGTGAACCCTGGTTTTGGTGTCTAGAGAAGTGCAACTTTATCCTGCCTGTCCCTATATTATGGCTTTTATCAAGGCACATCTAGTTTTACTTTTAGCAAGCATGAATTAATTTAAAATGTTTTATTTTTCAGACAATCATCGTCCAAGGTTACACTGACAACAGAAAGGTGCAGTTCCTGGCTGCTTATATTAACCTCATCTGAAGTGCAGGGATTTCCTGCAGTATAAATAGGTGTTTTATATATCATATTTTTTATATCGTTCATAAAATAAAATTCATGATATAGAACTGTATACAGAAAATAATTGGCTGATCTTTGAATGTCTTATCGTGGTGTTTTGTGTTATGCTTATAATGGGATGAAATAAATGATTACAGTACTATATATTATATATAATTGAACCGTGTGCTAGTGCTAGCATACTTGTTTTTATTGAAATTTTTAAGGGATTTTTCAGTACAGGTATTTTCAATTTTTGAAAAATCCAATTATTAATTTTGGATTTAAATTAATAAAAAGTTATTTGAGATACTTTCAGTGTATTATATTAAAATTACACTTTCATTGTTTAGGGCTGCTTCCTTGTACAGTATGTATTTTGTCATATGTTTGATACATATTCAGGCATGTAACTATTATTGAAGTTAAATTTGGTCCACATGATAATGAGTTTGGCAATTCATTATTGGTCAACATTAATTTTTCCTCCCAAAATATGGCTTCTACAAGTCTTTTGGAACAATTGAGGAGGAGGAGGAGACCTAACATCCTCAAGTTTTAGCTTTTAATGTGTGTGCATGTACAGTGTACCGTTAAATAAGGCAGTGACAACTATTATCCTCTCCTAAGTCAGCAGCAATGTCTTCGAGCCACTGATGGGCCACATTCATCTCGTGAACTATTTTATAACTAATATATGAAGGTAATAATAGTAATGAAGTATAGAACTAAGAGTTATGCTTATTGGATTGAAATAACATTTAGATTTGTTAACCAACAACAATTGGTATGACATTTGGTGCTATTTAATGCTTTTAAAGTTTTTCAACATTAGGTCAGAAGCTAGATGAGCTCATAACCATTAAGTTTTCTAAATGAACATCAGTAATTTTGGTGCTTACTTGCTTTTTGCATAATTTATCCCTCACCTATCCCTTGCACACCAATCACCTATTCCTCATACTTTTCATTCATCTCACTCATCCTTTACACCTTTCTCATGCCTCAAACACCTCACCCATCCTTCACACTCCCCATTTCTCATACACCACACTAAACCCTCACCTCACTCCTCCCTCACCCACCTCACTCCTCCCTCACACACCTCGCTCCTCCCTCACACACCTCGCTCCTCCCTCACACACCTCGCTCCTCCCTCACACACCTCACTCCTCCCTCACACACCTCGCTCCTCCCTCACACACCTCGCTCCTCCCTCACACACCTCGCTCCTCCCTCACACACCTCACTCCTCCCTCACACACCTCACTCCTCCCTCACACACACTCACGGAGACAAAACTTGAAGATGTAATTTTAAATGAGGTCATATTCCCAAGGGGCTACTCAATTTGGAGACGGGACAGAAAAATTAGGAAAGGCGGTGGCGTTGCTGTGCTGGTAAAAGAACACCTAAAGGTGAAGGAAATAATGACTGCCAATCCACAAGAAGTTGACATAATAGCACTAGAGATCTGCTATGAGGATGATAAACTAATGATGATAAATGCATATAGTCCACCGCCAAGCAGCACATGGTCAAAGGAGGAGCTAGATAGTAAACGTGAAGGTCTTATAACAATAATGAGAGAGATTATAGCGAGAGCGGATAACGATAGATCACGACTGTTGATAGTCGGTGACTTCAACTTGAAATCCATAGACTGGGAAGCATATGAAGCTAAAACAGAAGATTTTTGGACCTGTAAATTTGTAGACCTCATCCTGGAAACATTCTTGTATCAACATGTTAAACAAGCTACGAGGATGAGGGAAGGGGACGTTCCCTCCATGCTAGATTTGATATTTACCAGGAAGGAGGAAGAGATATTTGACATTCAGTACCTTCCTCCCTTGGGTAAAAGTGACCATGTCTTTTTGGGAATAAAGTATGCAATGCGTTATAAGCTGGAAGAAAATAAGGAGGTTGAAGCAGTTGAAAAACCAGACTTCAGGAGAGGACATTATGGTGACCTTAGAAATTTTTTTAGTGAGTATAATTGGACAGACTTGATGCTAGGCAAGGAAGTGAATGAGATGTATGGCAAGTTTTGTGAAATATATGATAAAGGCACAAAAAAATTTATACCAAAACAGAGATGCAGAACTAGGAAACAGGATTGGTTCAATAGAAATTGCGAGAGGGCTAGAGACCGAAAGACACAAAAATGGAATCAATACAGGAAGAGGCGAACCCCCAAACATACCAGCGATACAAAGATGCGAGAAACAACTACACGGCAGTGAGGAGAGAGGCAGAAAGAAATTTTGAAAAAGGGATTGCGGACAAATGTAAAACAGAACCAGGTCTATTCTATAAATTCATAAACAACAAATTGCAGGTAAAGGATAATATTCAGAGGTTGAAAATGGGAAATAGATTCACGGAAGATGAAAAGGAAATGTGTGAAACACTAAACGAAAAGTTCCAAAGTGTGTTTGTACAAAATGAAATCTTTAGGGAACCAGATACAATAAGAATTCCAGAGAACAACATAGAACACATAGAGGTGTCTAGAGACGAAGTGGAAAAAATGCTCAAGGAGCTCGGTAAGAACAAAGCAGTTGGCCCAGATGGCGTTTCACCATGGGTTCTGAGAGAATGTGCATCTGAGCTCAGCATTCCACTTCACCTGATCTTTCAGGCATCCCTGTGTACAGGAATCGTAGCAGACGGGTGGAAACAGGCTAACATAGTTCCAATCTACAAAAGTGGCAGCAGGGAAGACCCCCTCAATTATAGACCTGTATCATTGACAAGTGTAATAGTGAAAGTATTGGAAAAACTAATCAAACTAAATGGGTAGAACACCTAGAGAGAAATGATATAATATCAGACAGACAGTATGGTTTTCGATCTGGAAGATCCTGTGTATCGAATTTACTCAGTTTCTATGATCGAGCCACAGAGATATTACAGGAAAGAGATGGTTGGGTTGACTGCATCTATCTGGACCTAAAAAAGGCTTTTGACAGAGTTCCACATAAGAGGTTGTTCTGGAAACTGGAAAATATTGGAGGGGTGACAGGTAAGCTTCTATCATGGATGAAAAATTTTCTGACTGATAGAAAAATGAGGGCAGTAATCAGAGGCAATGTATCGGAATGGAGAAATGTCACAAGTGGAGTACCACAGGGTTCAGTTCTTGCACCAGTGATGTTTATTGTGTACATAAATGATCTACCAGTTGGTATACAGAATTATATGAACATGTTTGCTGATGATGCTAAGATAATAGGAAGGATAAGAAATTTAGATGACTGTCATGCCCTTCAAGAAGACCTGGACAAAATAAGTATATGGAGCACCACTTGGCAAATGGAATTTAATGTTAATAAATGTCATGTTATGGAATGTGGAATAGGAGAACATAGACCCCACACAACCTATATATTATGTGAGAAATCTTTAAAGAATTCTGATAAAGAAAGAGATCTAGGAGTGGTTCTAGATAGAAAACTATCACCTGTGGACCACATAAAGAATATTGTGCAAGGAGCCTATGCTATGCTTTCTAACTTCAGAATTGCATTTAAATACATGGATGGCGATATACTAAAGAAATTGTTCATGACTTTTGTTAGGCCAAAGCTAGAATATGCAGCTGTTGTGTGGTGCCCATATCTTAAGAAGCACATCAACAAACTGGAAAAGGTGCAAAGACATGCTACTAAGTGGCTCCCAGAACTGAAGGGCAAGAGCTACGAGGAGAGGTTAGAAGCATTAAATATGCCAAAACTAGAAGACAGAAGAAAAAGAGGTGATATGATCACTACATACAAAATAGTAACAGGAATTGATAAAATCGACAGGGAAGACTTCCGAGACCTGGAATTTCAAGAACAAGAGGTCATAGATTTAAACTAGCTAAACACAGATGCCGAAGAAATATAAGAAAATTCACCTTCGCAAATAGAGTGGTAGACGGTTGGAACAAGTTAAGTGAGAAGGTGGTGGAGGCCAAGACCGTCAGTAGTTTCAAAGCGTTATATGACAAAGAGTGCTGGGAAGACGGGACACCACGAGCGTAGCTCTCATCCTGTAACTACACTTAGGTAATTACTTAGGTAATTACACACCTCGCTCCTCCCTCACACACCTCGCTCCTCCCTCACACACCTCACTCCTCCCTTACACACCTCGCTCCTCCCTCACACACCTCGCTCCTCCCTCACACACCTCGCTCCTCCCTCACACACCTCGCTCCTCCCTCACACATCTCACTCCTCCCTCACACACCTCGCTCCTCCCTCACACACCTCGCTCCTCCCTCACACACCTCACTCCTCCCTTACACACCTCGCTCCTCCCTCACACACCTCGCTCCTCCCTCACACACCTCGCTCCTCCCTCACACACCTCACTCCTCCCTTACACACCTCGCTCCTCCCTCACACACCTCACTCCTCCCTCACACACCTCGCTCCTCCCTCACACACATCACTCCTCACTCACACACTTGAGTACCCAAAGAAGTCATACAGACTTTTAAACTTTTTTTAGTGTCAGAGTAATTAACAAATGGAATGCACTAGGCATGTGGTGGAGGTAGACTCCATACACAGTTTCAAATGTAGATAAGATAGAGCTCAATAAGCTCAGGATTGTAAACCAGTTGATTGATGGTTGAGAGGTGGGACCAAAGAGCCATAGCTCAACCCCCACAAGCACATTTAGGTGAATACACACCTCACTCATCTCTCACTTTACTCATCTCATACACCTCACTAGTCCATCATTCCTCCCTCACTGGAAATTTTTGCAGTGATCTTTTAAGCAAATTTTCAGATCCACTGATATTTAATCTATTTCACATTCAAAATCCATCAGAATTCTTTTCTTGACACCACAGACCTAGTTGATACTGTATTTTGCTTGGGGCCACATGATGTTGGCAAGCGAGCCATAAGTTGCCAACTCCTGCATTAAATGTTAGTTAAAAGATAGTATTTTAAAAATGTCAGCTATGAGCTGTCATGTTTATTAGTGTAGTCGATGAACAATATTCCTTTACCCCGGGTTTCTTGGAAAGTGCAAAATGGCAACGTCACTTTTGTTGTTATCGTATTGGGTTAGATTATGAATGATAGGCGCTTTGTAATGAGGCTCATTGGCCGAAACACCACATACACTGATTTATATAATTTACACTGCTATCTAAAGGAAAATAGTGTAGAACAATGAATAAAAATTAATATACGTAAATTAGTGAAAAAGTGAGATGGCTCTACTCTTGTACTTCAGAGTTTATTAACCTTTTATATAAACTCTATAACGTTTGATAATTTTATGTAATGGCATTTAGCTGTTGAGGCAAATGACGTGACGTCACACACAAAACATTTTTCCGAGTTAAAAGTGGTTTGCAAATATTTACAGTTCTAAAAATAATTGATATACTCTATACGAATAATGGTATCAAGACCTAATAACATCCCAATATTCAATGCGTAATAGTGTGTATATTATGAGGGAGAGAGGTAGAGAGACACTTTGAAAATATGACAAATGTTTGATTATATTATTTGTGTAATTCAATGCCATTTGAAGATTATTGAATGCTCAACTTACACTGTTGTATGATAAATGTTAAATGAAAAAGTTATTTGCTTTGTAAAAGGTTTACAACATTTAATGGGCAAACAATACATATTCTGTCATTGGTTGTTTCACCAATAACATAGAAGAAAATGCTTTGACTTT